TCAAGGGATTGCATACACACACTTACAACTACAAACATCCCTTGAGGTAGTAGCTGTTCGAGCTGTTCTTTTTGATAAACTCATCACAATTTGCACTATTTACATTCCTCCTAGCTATCAGCTGCAAAAACGTGATTTACACTTTTTAATTGATGAACTTCCGGAGCCTTATGTTCTCCGTGGAGACTTCAATGCGCATAGCAGGCTATGGGGTGACTCTCGTTGCGACGCGCGAGGTTGACTCATTGAACAGTTCTTTGTCTCATTGAGCACGTCTCCTAAACTGAAAAGAACCAACCTATTTTAATCTCGCTAATAATACCTACTCCTCTATAGACCTAAGCGTAGTATCGCCATCTCTTGTGCCTCTACTCCAGTGGAAAGTCATCAATAATGCGTATGGAAGTGACGACTTCCCCGTAGTTTTTAGCCCAACCACAGCAACTGAGTGTCCACCACGTGTTCCCAAATGGCTCATAAGGAAATCCGACTGGAAACAGTTTTACACCATCACTCATTTAAGTTGGCACGACATATGCACATTAAGCATTGATGCGACTGTCAACTATTTCACAGCGTTTCTGATTGATGCGGCAACAAAAGGCATGCCACAAACGAATGGACACCCTGGAAAACAACGTGTGCCATGGTGGAACTCTGAGTGCCGAAATGCGCGCAAGCAGCAAAACAAAGCATGGAGGTTGCTTCGAAACTCTCTGACAGCTGAAAATCTTCACATCTTTAAGAAAATGAAGTCTCAAGCCAGGAGAACGCGTTGGCAGGCCAGAAGAGAAAGCTGGCAGAAGTTTTTATCGGGGATCAATTCATTTACACGGGAGGCAAAAGTCTGGAACATGGTTGGTAGGGTAGCAAGAAGACAAGCACACACACTCCCACTTGTAAACACACAGGGTGACACTTTGGAAAATCAGGCGAACGTCCTCGGTGAACACTTTGAGCGGGTGTCCAGCTCCTCGCACTATACTGACGCTTTCCAAAAATACACAACAATAATAGAAAAGCAAAAACTCGAACATAAATGTACGTGATACAAGGCGTACAACTAAACATTCAGCTTAGCTGAGCTCCAAACATCACTGAATTCCTGCAGTGATTCCGCTCCAGGTTCTGACCGTGTGCTTTACGAAATGTTAAAAAAGCTACCAATCGAAACTCAAAAACCTTACTTTGTTTGTACAATGCTGTTTGGTTCTCTGGCACTATCCCTACTTCCTGGAAAGAGGCTATTGTTATTCCCATTTTGATACAGGGCAAGGACCCTTCTTTAGTTTTGAGTTAGAAGCTTATTGTGCTTACAAGCTGCTTATGCAAACTAAAAAAAAATTATAAACCACCGACTTGTACATTTTCTTGAAAGGAACAATTTGCTCGACCCATTTGAGTGCAGGTTTCAAGAGAGTAGATCCACCACCGACCACCTTGTTCGTATGGAGGCACAGATCAGAAACGCTTTCGTTCATAAGCAATCCTTTCTCTCTGTGTTCCTTGATATCGAAAAGGCACATGATACAACATGGGGCTTTAGAATACTAAGAGACCTGTCCCACCTTGGTGTGCATGGCAGAATGTTTACTATAATCGAAAGCTACCTGTCAAACCGGACATTCCAAGTTCAAGTAGGCAGCGTTCTTTCCCGTTTCCCAAACATTTGTCTAAGAAACAGGTGGGCCGCAAGGTGGTGTACTTAGTTGCACACTTTTTCTCATCAAAATAAATTCTTTGCACTTGTCCATCCCTCGGAATATGTTTTATTGTATATATGTCGATGACGTCTAGCTTGGCTTTAGATCTTGCAATCTGGCCATGTGTGAGCGCCAGGTTCAGCTTGGTTTGAACAAAGTCTCCAATTGGGCTGAAGAAAACGGGTTCCGTCTGAATGCAGGGAAAAGCACGTGTGTCTTGTTCTCCGGGAAGAGAAACATTCATCCTGAACCCAATATTAAACTGCATTGTCAACGTCTTTCTGTTAATACTGAACATAAATTCTTAGGCATAATCTTGGACACCAAGCTAACCTTCATACCACACATCAAATATATAAAAAACAAGTGCATAAAAGCTATGAACATTCTAAAAGTGTTGTCACGCACTACGTGGGGAAGCGACAAAAAGTGGGTAATGAATTTGTATAAAAGCCTTGTACGTACCTGCCTAGACTATGGGGAAATAGCATATCAGTCTGCGACACCTACTGCCCTTAAAATGCTTGACCCTGTTCATCATCTATGCATCCATCTCTTCACGGGTGCTTATTGCACTAGCCCCGTGGAAAGCCTGTACGTGGAATCGAACGAATGGTCGCTTGACCTACAGATATGTGTCATGTCTTTTAAATATTATCTTAATGTGAATGCAGACAAAGATCACCCATGACACTCCACAATTAATGACATGTCAAGCCTTGCTGTGTTTGAGAAACGGCCTTCTATGAGACAGCCCTACTCACTCCGTGTGAAGGGTCTAGCGAAGGAAGCCGGTTTGCCACTTGAACATCGTTTGATGGCTCCCGCAGTAAGCCTGCCACCGTGGCAATGGCAGGCAATAGATTGCGATGTGTCTTTCTTGGAGCTTACGAAGCATGCACCAATAGCACATATCAAGACATACTTCCTAGAACTACAACAGAAATAAACATGTCCTGAGTACTTCACGGATGCTTCAAAGTCCGACACTTCTGTCTCGTACGCAGCCGTCGGCCCATCCTTTTCGGAAGCTGTCATTCTGCACTCTGATTCAAGCATTTTCACCGGCTAAGCTTATGCGATACTCGTGGCCGTCAAACACAATAAACAAATAAAACTACAGAAGGCAATAATATATACAGACTCCCTCAGCGTAGTAAAAGCTCTGAAAACTCTTAAAAAGCACAAGAACCCTCTCCTTGCCTCGCTTTATTCGCTCCTATGCACAGTCTACTCATCTAAGCAGCATGTTGTAGTCTGCTGGGTGCCAGGACACCGCGAAATACAAGGCAACGTTCGGGTGAACCAGCTAGCTGGATCTGCTAACAAAACGGCTAGCAATACATCGATACCACTTCCTGCACTCGACTTGAAACCTTTTCTAAAACTAAGGCTCAGGGACTACTGGAAGAGCACATGGGACACACACACTGGTAATAAATTGCATGTCATCAAGCCGCAACTTGGTCATTGGCCACCAGTATCAAAATCACGCCACACAGAAGCAATCCTTACAAGGTTAAGAACAGGACATACACACACAACACATTCATTCACACAAAGGTGTGAATAAATGTGTTGAATTCACACAAAGGTCTATCACACAAAGGTGGGGGCGATCCACCTTTGTGTGATAGATGTGGAGAAGCACTCACTGTACTTCACATTCTAATCCAGTGTAAAGAATTAGACATGCTGAGAAGACAACACTTTCCGTTACCCTACTGACAACAGATACCACTCTATCCTGCAATGTTCGTCGGTAAGGAACCACTTTTTACTCATAAATCATTGTTAGCTTTTTAAAAGAAATTCGTACTTTTCATATCATATACTCGGGCATTCCTTAGCACAACCTCTCTAGAGAGGTCTCCGCTGCGGTGGCTACACTCAACAAAGCACTTGCCTCACGGCCCTTAGACGCAAGGGTGTGAACGAGTGAGGCACTTGTGCTAATGTCATACATGTCCACCATCGTGTTCTATTATCACTAACTTTTGTCATCTATTCGCATCACACACACCTTTCACGGCATGGTCATAATTTTATTACTGCTATGTTTTTACCCGCCTTAGCACGAGGAATATTATGGCCCTTATACAGCCGCTTATCACAATCATTGTCCATATCTCTAGTAACATGAGCTGGCGCTCTTTGACCGTGAAATGGCCCTTGCGCCACAAAACATCAAACATCATCATCATCAAAAGTTTGTTGATCTGAAAAGTTCACTAATGTGGGGTTCGTTTTACCCAGATTTTACTGTATACCACAATTTTTGCAGCTTTGCATGCATCGATCGCTTCTTTGCACACAGTGTGGCAACTGTATTATTGTCATTGATATTGAAAGCATGAAGCATAGTTCATTGGCAGTGACTTGATGAATTTGTGGCACAATAGTTCAAGGAGCAGGTTGCTGTGTCTTTGCTTTGCTCTTGGTTATTGCTGATGTGCTCATGGATGTCCATGAGCACATTAGTAGTTCCACTTTAGCACAGGTTTCTTAAACAAGCAGAAGCTCGGGCATGCGCTGGGCACTGCTCCCTTGTTGTTAAATCTTGATATTGTCTGTGAAGCCAGCTGCAAGGAAACGCTTACTGCAGATGGAGTAATTCCATGCTGTGCACGCCTACCATTTCATTGATGAGATCACCATTAGCCATTGTTGGCACAACTCGCCGCCGACAAGGATGTCATGGCATCGTACTCAGATGCTCTTGTTTGTCACACTTTATGTGAATGCAAAATGATGATGTCACACTTAATGAGACCTCCCTGTACTCTAGCACATTCCTCACTTTACTCCTGCAGAGGAGGGCATGCGTCAGCTGGCAGAGCAACAAGGGAATAAGTGTGATTGAACCTCTTTTGACAGGCACAGTTTAGCTTGTAGGTCTTGCATCTTGCAAGTCAACTGCTAGAGTTGTGCTATAGGGGAGGAAGACAGCAGGAAAGGAGCAGTGTTTTGATAGTGTGCTAGCTATGCGAAATGACACGATTCAAAATAGTACTCATCGCTTTACAACGGTGTTAGCTTTATGGCCATGGAATTGTGCTGCTCAGCAGCAAATGTGGTTTCAATCCTGGACACATTTGAATAGGGTCATTCGTATAAAAGCTTCGATTCAGGTGTGCATCAATATACTCCAGCAGCTGAAAATTAATCCCTCATAACTAAATTGTAGTTTCGGCATGTAAAGCCCCTCTTTGTTGTTCATTCTTACGCCTGGCTTCTTTGCTCACCTCTAAAATAGATAGAATAAAGTTTCTTTCTTTTTTCCTCCTGTGCATACAGCATTTATCAAGATGGAGGATGAAAATGCTGACTTTGTACGCCAGCTAGCTCCGACTATGTGCCACTTAGCAAAGCTACAAGAACTCACGGTACTCAGCAGCACCACTTTGCCATGGGATCCACCGAGTGAGGCCCACTGGACACGGGCCATGGTGAACTCCAGTGCAGATATCTACATTGAGACGAATGTGAGTGCCTTTTTTTTTTTTGTAGTTGGGAGTATATTGTCACAATACGTAGTTCAAAAGGCCGTGACCCCAAAATTATTATGCTCCGAATGACACATTGCATCATAGACCATGTGCATTCTATGGCAAGTTGAAATGTTTAGATGAATTCAGTACATTACAATGTCTGTATTTCAATTTCTATCAGCGTTATCTTTTTATGTTGCTTAGCATAAAATCCTAAACAAGCACGCCCCCCTACGGTAAAATATAATTGGAAAAGATTTAGGGAGGGGGCCCTTGCTTGGTCAAATACCAAAAGTCAGAATGGCAGCAGAAGAGCCCTCAAGAAGAATGCACACCTGTGCTGCTAATAAAATGCTTTGATGATCATGCATGCATTTGCTGTTATTACTGAACCAGAGGAATTTTCTTGGGAAAATTCACGTGTCATGACAAGGGTTGAAGATATTCTTCAAAAGTACTGACAAATTATGACAACTCAGAATGCAAGCCTGAAGCACCACACTGTAAAACCGCTAAGAAATTGTGCATATATATAGAACTTCAGTTCCTCGGTACAGCTGCTGCAGGATTGTGTAGCCTGGAAGAGGTTGCAAAAAAAAAAATGACAGGAGGAGAGGAGTGGAGCGCTTGCTCGGTTTTTGGCGCATACAGTCAAAGACAGTTATATCGAACCCACATATATCGAATTTTCGGGTATATCGAACTCGTAAGTTATCCCCTGAAAAGTCCTCTGTAAAAGTAAAGGAATTACCACTTTTATATCGAACAGTATTTTTACCCACCTTCGGATATATTGAACGTCGCGCGAGCTGGAAAGTGCGCTTTAGCACACCCCACCTCCCCACCCTGCGATCTCCGCGGCAGCGTGGTTTTGCGCGCCAGTGGGAAGGTGCGTTTTGGCACTCGCAGCGCCTGCTAACCTCCACGCGGCACCACACCTCCGCCGAAACCCGAAACACTCGAAAAAAAAAAAAAAAAGGTAAGAGCGAGAGGGCTCGGCCTGCATAATCTCCAACTTGCGAAAAGGCTTTTTCTTTTCGTTTCTCTTTCTTTTTCTCCTGCTTTCTTCACGTACCTGTCTACTCAGAGAGCAGGAATGAAGCAGCCGACATCCTCCTCCTTTCGCCTTTCCTGTTAGTTTTGGTCGCTGTTTTGCGAGTTTTGATCAGCCAACCACAGCTCGTGCCTTTTGCTGTTGCCCTCGCAAGTGACCATCGCTTCGCGAGCGCTTTGTTGCTTCTGTTATCGCGTTGCCTACATACCACCCCATGTACAGCATTTCCTTTTGCGAGCGTGGTGTTGAATTTCCAACTTCTTGTGTAGCTATGGCCAGCGTTAAGAAGTCCAAGACCCTTGACTTACGATGAAGTCAAAGACTATTCAGCGTATTGAAGAGGGCAAGAAATGTTTGACTGTCACAGACGACTTCGGGATACCACGAAGCACTCGAGTATCTTGTTGAACAACAAAGCGGATATCGGCAAAAGTGGCGGAGTAGCAAACGTCGGGAGCCTGTCATATGCGCACTCCTGCCCACGAGAATGTTGAAAAGGCACTCTATGCTAGGTTTTTAGAAGAGCGCACGAAGAACATTCCGGTGGATGGCCTGATACTGATCACCAAGGCCTAATGGTTTGCCGCTGCACTCGGTGAAACAACTTTGCCAACAACAGCGGGTGGCTTCACCGATTTAAGCAGCGCTACAACATTGTTGGCAAAACCAATTCTGGTGAAAGCGAAGCTGTCAGCAGCCAACACGTCCAGCATTGGATAACGAAGGAGTGGCCGGAAATCTCCGCGAAGTTTTCTCCCACGGAGATCTTCAATGCCTGGCGAAACGTGAAGACGTACACAGTGGTGAACTGCTTTCGCAAGGCAGACTTCGAGATGGTGGAACTCGTAAAAACCGGTGAAGACGATGACGAGCGCATAGATGACGCGTGTTGCGAGTTGTCGTCCCGGTTGCCGGCAGCAGTTCCACACGAAGTGTCTGCACGATTTCGTGGAAGCAGACTGGAATGCCCAGGCTGGCAGCTGAAGTGATCAGGAGGATCGTCAGGATGAGGTGCTGGCTGTTTGCATGAACTCCGCCGCTGAAGTGGCGGCAGCGTTCGGCATCATTCGCTGTTGTATCAGCCACATGGAGGAAACCGGGCTGTCGCACCTGGACAGTCTTGATAAGATTGAGACTAGCATCTTCAACATTTCAAAAAGGAAGAAGCAGGCCAAGATTAACGATTTTTTTTTGCGTAAATAAATAATTCTGTTGCAGCGTTTGCGCAGAGTCAGTTATCATTCTTGAAGGCGCCTATTGTAGGTGATGATAAGAGACCAGATTATGCAAATGCCTATTTTGCTCCTTGCGTTCCTATCGTGCCATTTTGATATATGAGCATGAATTAGAGGTTAAGAAGGGCTTTTATGGTGTTTTTATAGTGCCTATAAATGCTTATTTTGGGTGTTCATGCCTAAATGCCTATAGGTGCCTATGAATGTCTATTTTTCAAATGAGCACCTATATGAGCGCTATTCAAGCCCAAATTTTGTTTTCGAATGTGGTGTGAAACCGTTATTCATGTAAAAATGGCAACATTAATATTTCCAAACACTATTAGGTTAAACGAACACAAAGCTGACATGCTGAGATCGATTGGAGAAAGAGCATGATGAGTGCAAAAGATGCTGTTTCTGCAGCCCTAAATGGAAGCATGTCTCAGCGTGTGCAGAGGAAGGAAGAGAGAGAATTAAAGATGGGGTAAGAAATTAAAAGTGGCTTCTATGGCCAAGGATGCGGCGACCACCTTCTACAGACAGCTGTCCAGTGACCTGTAGGAACAGAAGAACCGTCCTTAAGACCTGGGTGTTGCGGTGGGACAGGAAGAGCAGGTTTCTCTGGGCAGCCACAGATAGCTGGAGAATGAATGAAAAACCATGGAGGGCCACTCATGGAATGCTTTTATTGATTCAGTGGTGACAAAGGTCGCCAAATTGTTATAATTTGTACAGCGAAGCCTAAGACAGGTGCTGGCATGTTTACAGTCAATGGTGGTTTGGCATACATTCAGCCTATGCCTGAATACACTTGTGCTTTATGAGATCTCTTGGCAAATTTTTTAAAGTGACAAACGTGAAAAATACAGAACAAGGCTTGAAGAAGCAATACTTTTTTGCAGACTAGTTGGTTCATACTTGAAAAACTGCACTCTTTCTTGTCTCTCTTGTTTTTTTCTTCAAGTTTGTGCAGCAATTCAATTTTTCAAGGCTTGAAGGTTTGTCCTAAGCTATTACTCAAAAATGCCAACTGTAATAATATGAAAAATAAACTAGGATGGTAATTATCACCATCATGTCAAATTAAACTGGGAATAAAGCTCCTGGGAATAAAGCTGGGAATAATGTAAGTGAGCTCTGTACATATCTGCCTATAACTTTAGCAATTTTGGTTCTAGGAGGGTCAGAGTGGTGTCTATATGTTCATGAAGATACAAGGAGTTCAACCGCTACAAATACTGCTATTACAAACGAAAATTTTAAATTTTAGGAGCGGAAAACAGTGTGAATCTGTGAAAACAACAACAGTCAGACCACGTGTTTTTTACGATCGCTTGTAGCTTCGTTAATATTCTACCGGGAAACTTCTTACTTATAAAGTTGAAAGCCCTTAGGGTAGACCTGACGCTACTGAAGTTTGATCAGGCTAGGTTTACTAGTTCAAGAGTTATTCCGCAATCAAAATTAAGCCTAATCAATAAAAAGATTAAATTGGTAATATCACCTCGCAAACGCATTTAAATTTTGTCCGCTTAATATAATAATAAACCGCACCCCATAGGCTACCAGGAGGCCCAATTCCGTACACTCTAGGCCCTTAATTAAGGTGGTAATCAGCAAAAAGCACATTTCATTAAAACAAATTTTCAAAAGTAGCTACAAACGCCACCGAAAAATAGCTAATATCTTCTTTTAGAACACAACAGTCCGGTTTTTTCCGTGGAAAAATAATTTCGATAGCTTAAGGTAACCGGAAGATACAGAGTTAGAAAGAATATAACGAAAACTGCTAATAAACGTGTGGCGCCCGTGTCTTCCCTCGCTCAGAGGAGGAGAGTGGCTCACTGCTCGGGAGAAAGGTACGCCCGTCAGATCAAAGTCTTGAACCACGTGTTTTTTTTTTTGTTTTTTTTTTCCTCTTACGATCGCTTTTAACTTTGCTAATAACCTTCCGGGAAACTTCTAACTCATACAGTGCAAAGCCCTAATTGTAGACCTGTTGCCGCTCAGGTTTCATCAGGACAGGAGTAATAGTACCGGAACTATTTCGTGACCAAAATTAATCCTAATTACTAAAAAGACTAATTTGGTAACATCATCTCACAAACGAATTTAAATTTTGTCCGCTTAATATATCAATAAACAGCACCCCATAGGCTAATCGGAGGCCCAACTCCGTACTCTCTAGACCCTAATTAAGGGGGTAATCAGCAGAAATCTCATTTCATTAAAACATTTTTTATAAAAATAACCACAAACTTGACTGATACACCTCTGAAACCTACATTTAGAACATAACAATCCGGGTGCGGCGATGGCGTAGTGGTTAGAGCATCCGCATCGCTTGCAAGAGGTCCGTGGTTCAAATCCCGGTGCCGCGCAGCTCCCAACCGGAAAAAAAAATAAAAAATCCGCGTGCTGATGGAACGGCATTAAGAGGCCTGGGGTGCGGCCTCACCGGTAACCACCGCCGGGAACGCACTCCCTCACCATAGAAGGATTGTCCACCCTGGTGCCGTATCTGGCCACTACCTCCCACATGCATACGCCAAATAACTCACGGCCCTCAGTTTCCAGCGGCTGCGAAGCAACTGACCATGGTGGCGGTCAGATCTGCAACGCAGCAGAGGGGGCTAAGAATCTCTGGACTACAGGCCGTCTTTGGAACCTGAACTTGGCAACGTTTAACGCTAGAACCTTATCTAGTGAGGGAAGTCTAGCTG